CCCCAAAACCCCAAAACCCCAAAACCCCAAAACCCCAAAACCCCAAAACCCCAAAACCCCAAAATATTATTTAAGATTGAAAGATATAAATCAAAATTAACCAAAATCACTTTCATATGTTATGAAACCATAAAATTTACTCAAATGTCGCTTAAGTTATTTTCAAAGATGAAATTCAACGTTTTGTCAACTGTTTGCAACCACATCTTCGATGGCTTATTTCTTGAATGTCGCTATCCGATACTTCACTACCAATCTAAATAAGCATTGATGTTAAAGTTTCTCTATTTACAAATTCTATGTAGATTATTCACAATGTAATCTCTTTGAGATTTCATTCTTTGAAGTTACAGGCCTTGATTTGTTACCAGCTGTTTTTATAGTTCAATACAAAACCGAATTCCTAAGATAATATAATGATGATTTATTAGAAGTAAAGTTTACTAAATCTAGGCAATAATCTTAACTCATCAGATAGTCGATTTGGATATTGCGAAGTAAACAATAGTTCAAAATAGATTGCCAGTGTTATGAGATATGCTAGATAATAATATCAATTTACTGTAAAAAGATGTTTAAAAGTGTCACCAAAATTTTTAGCAAAGTTCAAAGAGGGTACCTATCCTTGACTTAGTATCAAAGTTTAAGGGATATGAACAATCCATTTAATTTTGATTAAATAGAAAAATACATTATTGCCATTGGTGCTATAGCATGGAGGTTAAATGAGAATATTATATGTAGTTCTTATAGTTGAAAAGAATCAAAACTTTAAGAGCTCAAGTAAATTCAGCCGAGTTTAAGCATTTCAGCATGATAAATATCATTAAACTCAGACTTGAAATAGAGTTGTAGAGTCGCTGCACACTCACACCAAAGTTTCTTAAAAGCTGGCAATAATTGTCCCTTCCCAAGGCAAGCGTATCAGAATGGTTCTGGCCTGAGGTAGACATAAGATTATTGAGTTTTAATTAAAATTAATTTATGAATCTGAAACGTTATGCTAAGCCAAATTCTAGCCAACTAGAAGAACCCTTAGAAGAGTTCATAGTGTCTTCCAGGTTCCTTAACTCTGCTGTATTTTTAGTCGTTTTTGGTGTTGCATTATAACCTCTCTGAAGATGAAACCCAAATGAATTATGAAGCCAAAGAAGTGTTTGAATCTCTTAAAGACTGTCTTTCCACTTCCAAAAACTACATCCTTGACCAACCTGGATTAGTAACTTCTGAATTATCTGAAGAGGCTCTTATTGCTTCTTCAGTCCTAAAAGCTGCTGAAGCATTCGATGATCAAGTGAGCAAAATTGAAGCCCCAAGCCATAGCATTCCTGAAAAAGAGTTTACCGAGCCTGAACAGAAATCTCAGCCTCAAGTTGCTGAAGGCGATAAGCCCAAGGCTGAGTCAATTCCTGACTCCAAAGATGCAGATAAGAAAGAATCTAAGACTGCTCCAAAAGCCTCTTCTAAACCCCAGAAGCCTTTGAAAGGAATCAAGGAAATTCACAACAAGATACTTACTAATGAAGAGAATATCAACAGAAATTCAAGGTCAGTTTTCATCAGAAATATTGACCAGAAAGTGACAGCAGCGCAGTTAAGAGAACACCTAGAAGAACAAACCGAAGGACTCAAAGATCTCACTCTGAGGTTCTATGCAAGAACTAGTAGATCCAAAGGCCAAGCTTATGCTGAGTACGAAAGTGAAGAAAGCGCATTAAAAGCCATTGAAAAACTTGACAACTCCACTTTCCATTTCATGAAGTTGAGTGTTGAAAAGAAGAGGTTGAATTTACCCAAGGACAAGTTCAAGATGAAAAAGAGAGACTTCAAGCATTCGAACAAGTTTGTCCCAGTACCTCAACACCCAATGATGCCTATGCCCCAGTTTGGGATGCCTATGCCTCAGTTTGGGTTCGGGGTGCCTCTTCCTTTCCCACCCATGAACCAGCCAAACCCTCAAATGTGGAGGAGCAACCCGAGATATCTCCAAAGTCGCGAGAGGAGGATTAAGGAGCAGTACAAAAGACTCAACGAGGAAATCATTCCTAAACAGAACAGGGAACTCAAGAAAAGAATAGAAAAGCCGAACAAAAGAAACAAAGGAAGGCAAGATATCAATAAATAATTCATCAAGCAGCTCATATGAGCCGTATTGTGTGCAAGATAATACTTTCACAAGCATTTTCGATAATATGTGCGACGTAGTTGTATTTGGAGTCCTCACTTGACTATTAGGTTCTGAGGGTTTGAAGCTGACATTAATCAAATCGCTATTGCTCGGCCTAATTGCAAGTACTCAATGATTCCTTCCTTCATATTCTCAATGACACAAATGGCACTCTTTGAGGTAGAAGACAGCTTTATACTTCAGAATCAAGGCTACTTATTTTGAGAATTCTCAGCTTTATCGCTCTTAGATGCAATATCTGTTAATTAGGTTCAAAACAATTAATTCTAACTTTCTTCATAATTGCAAGGCTAAATTAATGATAAAATTCAAATCAATCAGAATGAATTAACGACTTAAATAAAGGAAGCTCCTAGAGGATCTTTTAGACTTGTGCCAGGTATATAAGCATCCCCATTAATTGTTTGATTGAGGTTCTCTCAGTTGCTGACTTTAATCTCAATAATAGCCAAATAGAATAAATTACAACAATACTATTTTAGAGATATTTAACTGAAAATTATCTATACTTTAAAATAAAAATGCTTTTATAAATCCTGAAGCTATATTTTAGGTTTACCTATTTTTAGTTTTCTTTTATTCTGCTCTAAACACATTAGAGAGATATCTATCTTGACTATATGCCAATATGATATCACAGTCTGGGTTATATTGGTTTCATACAAAATTGATATTCCATAATATTTTAATTCAAAGATAGAGTCATCTGGTTTAATTTTGCAGAGGAGTATTAAGAAATTTAGCATTGGTACAAACTCTAGTTTAAAAATCTTATCTAACTAACTAAAAGTTTGACTGATTGATTTGAAATATGAATTCTTAGAGTTCTTTGCCAGTGAGTCTTAACAGATCGTCAATAAACAACCATCCTGGTCTTAAATCCAACAAAAAATTATCAATCACAACTATACTTTTATCAGATTCTTTTTAGACCTTAAACTTGTAAAAAACCAATAAACCCCCTCAACTTTCCTAATATTTCAAAATACTCTAATAGAACCCCTTCCCTTGCTGACAAAATCAACTCTCTTCATGCCCAAATAAATCGTCTAAACTTGTTCCTTCAAAAAGCTCACAACAAAACAGCCCAAGCTCAGCAAGCTCGAACAGGAACAATTAAACTTTAGCCTCCCACAATTTATAAGTTCTGGAATGGGGTTTTGGGGTTTTGGGGTTTTGGGG